AGAGTGCAGTTGATATACTGGCAGTCCCCAGTTATTTTTCTGACAAATTTCTTCTAATATCTACAAGAGTAAAAAAATGATTTCCCTTTCAAATGTCACATTTGCATTATTTCTCCAGCTTTCAGATTTTAAACTCTGTTCTTCAGAGTTTAAGCTAATAATGAGAAGATATAAAATGCCACATGGTTTAATGACTCATTAAAATTTAATATAAACTCGATTTGAACTCTGTTTAAAATGTTAGATCTATTAATTCATAAAAATCATTTTCACACTATTTATTCTAATATGTTTTTAGTTTAGTCCATTAGCTTTAACTTTTTACCCATAGATTGATTTTATGATTTGTTCGATATATTTATTCCATTTTTTTAAAAATGATATTTCAATATTGTGTGGCGAGATTTACTCATTGTTACCTTCAACCTTCTGTTTATAATGGTTTAGAGAAAATAACCAAGAATACAGTATATTCTTATATCATATTATTTATAATAGGGTTTTAATTTCACATTTTCATAAACATAGAGTTTAAAGTTTAATGGGTTAGTATTTATTGATGAGCATTAATAGATTAGTATTGACAGTGGCAACATCTTTATAAAACATCACTTCTGGTTATTTTTACAATGAATTGATTTATAGCATCTTCCTGTATTTTTTCGTCTTATATTATTCCAAAATGAATTGTGCCTAAAGTCATAAATTTTCTTCATCCTGAAGCCAATTTTGGTGGCCTACGAGACCCAATGCTCCTAATAGACAGCCGATTCAGTAAAATGTACAAAAAAAAGGCCTAAGTCTGAAAAAATAACTCTTTGGGATAGAACGATGTCCCAGGATGAATCTATGGAGCTCATTTCATTTTTTTCTAACACTAATCCAGCTCAATAGCATAACATTTTCCAGTATGTTAAATTTGTAGATTGCTCTTGTCTTCTTTATTAACTTTTTCTTTTAATACTCTTAGTTTTGTAGCATGCTTGTCATCTACAGAGCATTCTCTAAGGTTTCTGGGAAAAAGTAAATTTCTTTACCCGGTAGATACGCTGCCTGTCTGTTTATGCCAATGGGGTAGACACATGTCAACTCTAACTTTGGTTTCTAATCCATAGTCATAGAAATTCAGGGACAAATTAAAGAACTTTTGTTAGTTGATACAGATGGTTAGTCACATATTAATATAAAGCATGACCAATTTCTAGCCTGGGTTTGATATAAAAAGCAGATATTATTACTCATGCTATATCAGCTCTTAGAACTATTATACAGAATTTATGATTATTGTGTTTTTATTTCCTTAAAAGATTTCTAAGTATCTCAGTACTTTAAGTAGGTTCCTTATTTTGGGTTTTAACCCAAGGTATATTGAATGGCTAGTTTTGTGTTTTCTGAGCAGAGCTTTATTATGACACTTATTAGATCTTATTATAATTATCTGTGTATGTGACAGTATCCTCTCACTGAAATGCCATATAATTTCCCCCAGTTTTATTGAGATATGATTGACATACATCACTGTATGAATTTCAGGTATACGGCATGATGATCTGACTTACATATATTATGAAATAATTACTGTAATAAGTTTAGTTAGCATCTATCATCTTATACAGATATAATAAAAAAGAACAAAAAAATTCCTTGTGATGAGAACTCTTAGGATTTACTCATAACAATGTTCATATGTATCATACAGTGGTATTAATGATAGCCATCATGTTGTATATCACACCCCTGGTACTTATTTATCTTATAATTAAAAGTCTGTACCTTTTGACCACCTTCCTCTCATTCCCTCTCCTCTCCCCGCAATCCACCTCTGGTAACCACAAATCTCTTTTTCTATGAGTTTGGATTTTTTAAAATTCCAATATGAGTGAGATCATACAATATTTGTCTTTCTCTGTTTGACTTATTTCACCTGGCATAATGCCCTCAAGGTCCATTCATGCTGTCTCAAATGACAGGATTTCTTCCTTTTTTAAATGTATTAACCATTTATATGTCTTTTTTGGAAAATGTCTCTTCAGGTCCTTGGCCCATTTTTTAATTGGAATATTTATTTTGTGCCATATAATTGTTGATAGCAAGGATTGTGTTATATTCACTTTTCCATCCCCAGAGCCTAGCATAATGCATGCCCAATCAATGGGTTTTGAACAAACAAATGATTGCTGTTTACCAGTCTGATAGGCATTCTTTTTTTTTTTTTTAATTGCCTGGTAGGCAATTAAACCTTAGATGAACTAATTTGTGTGTATAAGAAAACCATTAATTCAATAAAAAAATACTGACGATGAGCTTTTAGAAAACCAAGTTTTCTATTTGATCTCAACAGTAAAGCTACATCCATAAATTTAGGCTTATACCTTTGGGACGAGAATAGAGAAGTTTCCTTTAGAATACACAAACTATAGCTGTGAACAACTGGATATTGGTTATTCAGCTAACGAGTCTCTGCAGAGAGATCAGTATGCATTGCACATTCACAGGAAACAGTCTAAGGGTTAAAATGGATCCTGTTTTGTGTTATTTTTAAGCTTGTTTGATATCGAGTTTCCATATTGGAACAACTTCTATAACTTTTAAGTTTCCAATAATAAAAACCGCAACCTCATGCAGGAACCTGAAAATTTAGGACTGTGAAATAAAAGCAATAAAAATTCACCACAATGCCACTGCCCAAATATAATTACTGTAGAAGACTTAATTTGATATGAATATGGCACCTCATAGTTAATATGAGTAATGATATCACCATAGATAGTATGATGTTTTCTCTTAAATGCTGTATTTTCCAGAAAAGATGTTCTAAATGGTCTATTTCCCGTTGTGACTATTCTTCATTTGCTAACCAACCTGGCTCACACAAAATTAACATTTATTTTGAACTGAGCTTTGCTTCATATTATTTTATTTAAGGTATTGGTTGATAATTATTAATAACTCTCAGAATCTTTGCATTTTAGCAGAAGATATTTTAAGGTGCTATAATTTATAACTAAAAATAAAAAGAGCCTATAATAGAACAATGAAACTCAATATTCATCATTCTCTCACAGTATGTTATGCTAATTAGTCTCTCTCTCTCTCTCTCTCTATACACACACACTCACACACACACACACACACACACAAACACACACACACATATATACCAATGGGGTAAACACATATACATACATATATATATGTATACACACACACACGCACACATATATATGTGTATATGTATATGACCCAAAACAATACCCTAAGTCGGGATTAAGTCAAATCATTTGATGAAAAGTGAATAATGGTCTTTGGTTCAACTTAAAGAAGCCATCTCTGGAATAAGATTACCTACCTGAGGAGCAAGTTTAATTCCTTGGGGTTTTAAAGTGACAGGATTCATTGGGGTGAGTTCCATTCCAGGTAAAATATCATAGAGTTTGTCTTCTTTCTTGTCCCCTTTGACCTGGTATCCACGACCCAGGCCTGTGTATGCCAAATAGCCGCGGCCGCCCAGTCCTCTCACTCCCGCAGCCCCTACAGGTACATTCATGTAAATTTCTAGGAATGTAAGAAGGCATTAAACTGAATCAAACCACCAGAAAATCACCCTGAATCTTACTGTAATGGAAAAGTTAGCCCAAGCAACATCGATTATTGCCCTGAAGATGAGTAGAAAACTCTAGGATTCTAATGTAATGAAACTCAACACAAGTTGGGTTTTTTTTTTTTTTAAACTATCTGGAAGAAAGCGTACATACTAGCAAAGCTATCAATAAGTACACAAGCAACTTTACAGCTTTGGTTCAGAGAAAAATTTTGCAGTTTTTGTCTTCAGTTAACCTTTTGTTGACATTTTTCTGTAGAATAATAAATGTTGGGAAGGTGTTTTTTAAAACATCCTAGCATGATATGACCGCATATATTAAAATCAGTCCTGCATTTTTTGTCATTAATCAGTAAATCAGAAATAAATTCTAGCTTTCCAAATAATTCCTTTCCCACTGACCTGTTGGAAAACATTTAGAAAGCATTTTAAGTTCACCATTTTCTCTCTTATGCTCTATCAATGTGAGGAGTAAATTTCCATTGAGTTTCATTAATAGATTCCTTTTGATTTTTTTGTTTTGCTACTTTGATTTTCTACTGGTAGCATTAAGATAAAAATATTAAATTGATTATCCTTTATCCATGTATATCATTCATTGATTTCTTTCTTGTTATAAGACAGATATTTTTTTCCCTTGGAGTAGAGTTTTTTTCTTACATTACAACTGGTTGAAACATATTTAATGGATGAGTTGTTTAATGTTGGAATTTTAGATTATAAATGCATAATATTTTAGTGGCATAATTTGTCATCATATAGACTGATTATCCTGAAGGAAATTCTGATGATTTCTTTTGCACTACAATTTTGAGGGAAGTGACCATATGGAAATTTTAAGGCTGTTGAAGACTAGAGCTTTAAAATGGTCAGTTCAGTTCTCCTGAAAAATAGTAAAAGACAATAAGATAATTGTTTCCACAGTAATCTGGACATGCCCCTTTGCTTCATTGTCAAACCCAAGAATAGATTTAAATACACAGTTTATTGCTGAATTGCTTAGACTGGTGTCATATTTGGAAGACAGAGCTGGGCATTGCCACCTCCTAGCAGAACCACTCTGAAGGATCACATTAGACAGACAAACTTGTTTCTTGAAAATAAAAAAATTGCTTTTCTTATTTTTAATATTGCTTGATCTGAGCTCAGAAAACTACTTTAACATTTGGAATTCTTATAGGATTCAATAGGAAAGACTTATTGTTTGTCAGACTGAGCTTTTTTTTTTTTCCTTCTATTTGTGCTTTATTATTTATTTACCCATATCCTGAAGAAGTAAATTGATTTCCTTACTAGTGTGGCTTTTTACAAGACATTGCACATATTTCTTGAGGGAAGTAGATGAGAGCATCTCATATATCTATTAGGATCTATTTATGATAATTTGTGATTTATATATTAGGATGATGCCACTGAGTCACTATCAAATACACATGTGCTTTGACATGTTTTTGCTATTTGAGGTAATTGGTTTCCATTGGACTATTCTGCTCTTACTTGGAAGTTTATAACGTCACATATGACTGCAATATGATGGTTCAATGATAAGAGAGAAACTTACAATTGTGGACCTGAGTTTTAGTTTGCACAAATTTTATGGGTCTATGCAAAGATCAAATGTATGCAGACTCATTTGTACTATGTTGTGTCCAAGTTTTCTTAAAAACCAGTTGTAATGTGAAAAAAGATTCCTATGGAAGGAAAACTATTGATATAATATTTGATTTTTAATAAACAATTTTTCAGTCCTTTTCTCCCAGTGGACCCATCTAATTTGTCTAAGGCTATCGCAATGCAAATCATTTGAAATTATAGTTATTCTAAGGCAAGAACCAATTAGTGTTACCTCTAACAGAAGGGGCACGGATAATGGCCCTGTTGCCAAGATGTCCTTTGGTAGCTGGGAAATGAAAGCTGGGAATTGTATAGGCCTGGGGAGCATAGAAGACAGGAGCTCCAAGGTACGTTGTAGTGGGATCATAAACATGGCCCAAAGAATAGGTATATTCTCCTTGCAGCATGGTGCCCCTTCCACCTGTGCCTCGGGTATACCTAACATAACTGTCCTTGTCCACTGGTTTGGCTAGAGTCACTTCAATAGGGGAACCATCCAGCACCTGTTGTAGAGAGCCAGGAAAAAAACAACACATGAAGATATGAAGACAACCAAGTGTGAGTGAGCCCTTGTAATGCACCTCCTTCTGTATTAGCCTATTTGCTATGTGTACTGGCTGTTTCAATTATATGTATCTTATCTCTTTATGAATTGGTGTTTGTGTGCCAGAGAAATTTTCCCTGAATGGTTTTGTGGATAAGTGGACTATAAGCTACCAACAATTTTGACAGTGACAAATTGGCCACCATCCATTAATGTAGATAGAGAATTATGTACTATTTTTAATGTGATATATGCTTTAAATTTCATATTTATAGAATATATAATTCTAAGACATTTTAGGTTAATAATGAGTGGAATATAATCTCTACTACCTAGCAAAGTACAATGAAGGTGAAAGGAAACCAGTAAAGAGATCTTATCAATTATTAATATCTTTACATGGGCAGCCCAGTTAGGCATTTCTGGCTGCTAGCCAGCTAAATGTCCTGTTCCTTAGAGCAGCTTCACAATAAGTAAGTTTTCACTGAGAAAGGGGAGAGGCTTAAAATGTGGCTCTACTCAAAGAAGAGGCATCTATGAGGCTATGACATTGTCCCCCACAGGTACTTTTTGTGAAGCAACCTTTTGATCTGCTGAACAGTTGGGAACTAGCAGACATGGGTAATGGGGACAGTGCTGAGATTTTTCAAGTCAATCATGCCTTAAAACTAGTTCTCAAGAATTATTGAAGTGGTTCGATTCTGACACCAGTTTTTGATCTTGCAAACAGTTCCAGATGTTGAAGATAATAGCTGTATGTGACTCACTTCTGTGTAATGTTTACATACAGAAGAGACAAAGATGGCTTTCAACAAATACTGGGTAGATTAATGTATTTCTTATCAAGGGACCAAGTGTAGTGAGAAAGCACTTATGGCTTCTTTCAAATAAGAGTATGAAGAGCCTCTATTTAATATAAAGAAGCAATATAAAGTATACCTGCAAAAATTCCCTTTCACAGCAGCTGAGTGTACAGCTTGGATCACTGATGTCTGCTGGGCAAAGCTTATGCTTCATAGTCATCCTGACCATTTTGTTCAGCCTCTGGGGCAACTTGTCCCTAATTCTATGTATCTATCCTACCTTTTTGTAGCAAGAGCCAGTATGAAATGTGTTAGCTGGAACACACTGAGAGAATCTAGTGATAGTAAACTGTCTCATATTGATGTTGATATAATTAGAAGAAATAGACTTGGGATATTGAAGGAATGGGTGAACTTAGATATAAAATTCTTTATATCTTCAGTCCTGTCATAAAGAAGACGAGCGACCCAAATAGGTCTCTGTCAATAGGCACTTCCATATCAAGAGACACTGTTAATGGAATGATTCTTTATTGCAAAGTCAGATTTCTTATTGTAATAGATTTTGTTCTGCACTCCTCTGCCACTCCAATAGTGTTTTAAACTCAGTATTGTATTTTCGTTATTTAGTTTAGACATTTCGAGAGCTAGGAGGATATCTGATTAGTCTGTATACCCCAAGCCCAGCAAAATTTCTTGCACATCATAGATGTCCACACATATTAATGGAGTAAATGAATAATCACATCCAAAGCTCAATTCATTATCTTTCTCTTCAAATATGTTTCCTTTTCTGGCTTCATTAAAGTATTGTCCTAGTTTCCCATATTGAAAACCTATAATGACTCATCTACCTTTCTCATGCCTATATCTACCCAGTTCCTGGGACCTTTGGATTCACCCCCACAGTCCTGTGTAGAGCTCTCATCTACATTCCATTCCCACCCTAGTTCAAGCCCTTATTATTCCCATTTGGATGACTGTAATAGCTTTTTACATCTCTCTTCCTATTCTATAAAATTTCAACTCCTAGTAGGTTAAGTTCTCTAAGTTGTAAATATGATCATTACTCTACTGCACAAAACACTTCAGTCTCATTGTGTCTAACAAATTAAATATAAATATCCATATACATATTCAGAAGCCTTTATGGTTCCAAGGCAAGTTTACTTTTGATTTTCCCATATCACATTATATTTAAATAGTTATAATATTTAATGTATATTTAATAATAATATTGAATATATATTTAATTACATAATTTATGTATATATTACTATAAAAATATCTAGCTGTAAATATAAGTAGCTTTAAAATTTTGAAAAATTTGAATATTTCCAATTGTAATTATTCCAATTTTTTGATTATTTATAATCATAAATAAGCATTTAATTCAATAATCATATAATAAATAATCATAAATTAGCATTTAATTCATGATTATCCCTTTCAGCAATCATTATGTATACTTGGGAATGTTTCTAAATTGAATATGTCTAACCTGCAAATTATTTTCAGAGGAGCAACATTTTTATGATATTAACTGTAATACTCAATGATGATGAAATAACGTTTTACTTCATAGACATGTATTTAAATCATTAATTTTTGCTTTGCAGTTTTCTTTTTGCATTTTGAAGTTAGTGCTTTTTTTTCTCAGGACTTAAACATTTCTGCAGGTCCTGGAGGAGCTCTTATACCTAGGCCCCGCTGTGTCTGAAGGGCCTAGGCTGGGAGATTCTCCGTTTGTTCTCCAGATATACTCCCTACCAGTCTTCAGCCTCTCTGCCCTGGGAGGGCGCTCTATGTAGAGTCCTATTCAGGGCTCCCGGGCTCCTGGATTGTGATTTGATCTGGCCAATGGGAAGCACTGGGGGAAGTTGGAGAGAAAGAAAACAGAGTTTGGGCCATTCCTTCTGGCTCACTCTCTGAGAGGTTATGTTGACCTGGATGTGTCCCTCGACCAAAGATCACTACTTCTCTCAAAGAGACTTGCTCTATATGACCCTCTCTCCTTTATGTTTCCCATTACTTCTCCAGCTCCTCATCTCTGACTCCAGGAGTGCCATGAGCCCGAGGGTTCTGCACTATCTCTTTTGATCCCTGATGCCATACTCATACTTTTGTAATTAGTCTCTTTGCCCTCTGTCTCCTGTTGGGAATGACTGCTGCATAGCCTAAGAGGTCACATAGCCCTATGTGCATTATGTTATAACCACAATGATCTACTTATACTGTTCTCCAGTAATATGTGACTCTTTTCAAATTCTCTGCCTCCAAAGTTGCCTCTCTTTCCATGTGTTTCTCTCTCTCTCTTTCTTTCTTTTTTTTTTTTAATTTGGCCCAACTTTTATGGCTACTCTTAGTTATCTTCTCATATCCAGGAAGATTTTCTGATTCTTCGGGAGCCATTTCTTCTTCCTTTGGACATGCTCACTATTTTTAATTTTTTTAAAAATGAAACTTATCTGTACTTTGCAAAGGAGTTTGTTTACCTGTCTTACTCTTTCTGCAAAGTTTTAGCTGATAACCATCTTTGGTTTGATTCTTTTTGTATTCCAGACATTATTTTGCATGATAAGTGGTCTATGAAAGTACTTTAATGTTTATTGAATTTGTAAGTAAGTGCTATATTGGTTTCTACACACAAATTAGAAGTAAGGACATAGAAGTTTTCCACCGGAACTTACTCTTGGCAAGATGAAGAGGTTTTAAGCCTTCTAGAGTTGAAGATCGAACTCTGAAGGGCAGAATCATAACAGCTACCTTGACATTTTTATCTGATCATTAGCCTCTAAAACACTGCACTAGAAAGGTGATAATCTCTTTGAAGTAATGATTAAATATTGGAATGGGGAAAAACAGCTTGAAATAATCTACCACAATCCCCTCTTCCTAAGGAAATTGAGGGCCAATGACTTGTTGAAATCAGCCAAAATTAGAGATAGAGTTGGACATACAAGCCCCATCTTCAATGTACTTTTCCATCACTTCTCTTTTGTTAATCTTAAATAGATTGAGGCAGCCATGTCAGAGATGGAGAAAGCCTGAGTGAGATAGATTTATAGGATTGTTCTTTTGAATAAAATTTCCACACCAAACTTTGATGGAATCCATATATATCTTTTCTTTGTCTGACATTACCTTTCCGTTTAAAGCTTTCATAGCCTCAACTGCGTCTTCTCGGTTATTGAAGTGCACGAAAGCATAGTCTCGGATTTTCTTCACCCTCTCCACAGCACCTGTAAATAGAGTGGAAGTATTATTAAAATGTTGTTAAATAATAATGTTTCTTACTCAATTTAAAAAATAAAACTTTTGCCTAGAGTGACATTAAAATGGAAACTTGTTTAACATTAACTTGTTAGCAATTTAGCATGCCAATTATCCTCTTTTAGTTATTCTCACTTGGGTATATCTTGAGAGACCAGGTTTTCTTCTCCTATGCTTAGTTTCTAGAGAAAAATACAGTATGGAATCCTATGCTAGGGAGGATCAAAAGAAGAGACAGTTTCTCCTTTCTTCCTCCCCCTATTAAAGTTCAGTTATCCTCTTACATCCAATTGTCAGAAAACAATTAGAGTTTCTATTCTACCACATGGTTCAGTGGTTATTCCTTTGGAATACCGATAGTGCTGTAATATAAGGATAATTTAAAAACACTGAAGTCTTTCTCTTCTCTCTTTCCTCAGCATATAATCCTTGACTTCTGATGACAATGGTTGTATAGAGTAAAATTATCTCTCCAGGCTGAGAAAATAAAAGTATCTGAGACCATGAAGCATGGGATATGTAATTAACTGAACTTCCAACAACCTCTCTTTTTTTCTTCACTATCAGGTGGGGTAATTTTTGTGACTCCACTCCATGGCTTGTCTTGGTAATTGAGAAGTAAGAGGGGGGCCGTGAGGACTTTTACCCTTCCCGTCTTTGCTCTATTCATTTTGTAGTGCTGTCCTCCTTCTAGGCTATCCTAGACTGTTAGCACCCTAAGAACAGGCTCTGCTTCAGAGGCACCTTGGTATAGTCTTTACTCAGTTTCTACCTTGTGCCTTATACTCAGGGGCCGCTCAGTAAATATACATGGACTGAGCAAATACTATCAGTCAGTTCACATTCCAACTTCTATCATCCACACTAGCTGAATTTCAGATGATAATGGATTTAGGTGTTCTCAAATTCACCTTGTAGATGTTGAAATCGGCTTGCATTTTTGAGCAATAATGTCCGCCTGCACCTGTTTTAGGAAATCTTGATATAGGAAAATTTAGCCTCATAAAACAGACAAATTAGAAAGTAAGAGTCGGGATCATAAAAGCTGGTTTTCTCTACAATAGTATCCACTACATGGCTTATTTTAATGTATTCCTTCCTTAGTGTATTGGAGTTTATTTATTGATTGATCACCATTTGGCAGACAGTGAGGCAATAAAATATCAGTGATAATCCATTAGCAATGATAAGAAAGATTCTTTGAAATTATAATACAGGGAATTGGAAAAATATTACTATGGTCATTATCAATTTGTCAGCAGACATCAGTTACCTGAAGAGAAACACAACTACAATCCAAAGTAAAGATTATTAGAGGGCCATGCTTCTCAAAGTGTGTTCCTCAGACCCTAATATCAGCTTCAGAGAGAAACTTAATAGAAATGCAAATGCTTGGGCCCTTCCCAGACCTACTGAATCAAAAGCTCCAGGGTGGGGCTAGCAATTTCTTTTTAATGAGCCCTCCAGGTGATTCTGATGTTAAACTGTTTTAGGAAAATCAGATTTTATAGAATGACTATAATTAGAATTTTGGCAGATACTGAACTTATTTTCAGGTCCCAGTTTCTGTTCTGATTGTCATTTTGTTTCTCTGACTGACAATATACTATTTTCAGGTTAATCAGAGTTAAAATAATACATGGTCAAATATTTGTTGGGAATAAAATGTTCTAGATAAGTATAAATACATCCTTTCCACTAGAAGAAAGCTAGTTAGCTCTGAATTTTTCTTCTCAATACAGCAAAGTCTGCAAGTCATCCATCCTCTGCAATCATATTTTTTGCGGAGTGCCAAGAAGCCATACGTTACTATAGAGCTGTGAGAGTTGTGCCTCTAGTCTGAGGAATAAGAGAGAGAGAAAGAGAGAGAGAGAGAGAGAAATACATTTGATCTAGCATTTCTTATTTTCATATAATTGATAGGGCCTGGGATTGTCTCTCTTCAACATGCAGGCCGGAAAAACCAATAACCAGTAACTATCAAAGGCAGAAGACTTTTAGTATTTTCTCATTTCCAGCCCTCATACACACACACACACACAAATAACATTTTATTTAGATAAAAAATTATAAGTGTTATTCACTCAGAGGAAGAAAGTTAACACAAAACTGAGGGTGGTAGTGAAGCAATATTTGTACACGGACATGTCAGTTCCTATGCTCACAAATGCATCAACTTTCAGATCTTAGCTGACATGTCACTTTTCCTAAATATGAGTCTTCTCTGCACCACAAAAGTAGACTGTCATTCCTGTTATTTTTCTGGAGCATCTTAAACTCCTTCCACGTATACAAAACACCTATTAGCCCCTCCTGCAGTGCCCGGCATATAGAAGCTACTAAAGTAATGAGTTGATAAAAAGTGAGTGAATGAAATAAGGATGAGGGGCGAGGGGTGGCTGTAGTCATAGAGTTGTTTAGAACATTCGCTTAACCAGACTTGGATTCAAATCTGGAATTTGCCACTTGCTAGCTGTATGACCCTAGACAAGTTACTTAATTGCTCTGGGTCCTAGTTTTCTTATCTCGAAAATAATGGAAGTAATAAAGTAACCTACATCATAGGGTTGTTGTGATAAATAAATGACACATGCTGTGAAAGTGCCCACCAACAATGCCTGGCACATAGGCAGTTAATCATTTGCAGATGCTATATTAGTAATGGATTCATAGCTGGTGATATGACACCACACCGTATACTAAAATGGCAGGGAAGGCAGAGTCCTGAATACTGGAAATAGACAAATCTCTGGCAAATCTTTAAAAAGGGAGAAATAACATCCTTACTAATTAACTTTGGAATGAATCATCAGCTTATTCTGTTACACCTGACACAGCACCCAGAGTTGGAAACAGGCAAAATGACTATGTGAAGTGAATATTCTCAGGCAGTTTTAACATGATGGCAACATGGCCCATGATTAGAAATCTCCTAGAGTTCTTGCTTAGAGACAGAAAAATTCTCATTTATGGAAAGGTGTTACCACAGTGATAAACTTAGGTAGGGGTGTGTTCTAAGATACACTAATCCCACAAGGTGGCTTGCCAAAAAATGGGATCCATGGTCCATATATATGGGAGATCTGGCATCCTTCATCTCTTCTTTTGAAGAAGTTCTAAGAATATTAGAATGTTAAGGACTCTGATAAGTTCCATGGTAAAAAAAAAAAAAAAATCTCGTGTTTATAAACTTATTTGACCATAGACCTTTTTTATCAGTAACATCTGCTAACAGTTTATAGAATTAATGTTTTGCAGAACTGGCTTTAGGAAATGCTTGTTTGGACATTGTTTCTTGAAATGCTTTACCTGTTTCAGTGCCATACTTCCAATATGAGCAAAAAAGAGATGGAAACTCAATCTCATGGCTTAAAATTGATATTGAAAGTATTGACAAGATGAGCAGCAACTAGTTATCCCCATCCACCTTCCTTCTATTCCTTTTCCTTACTCTTCACCCAAATGAATTTCCCAGAATTAACTGTTACCTCTTTACTTATGTACCTAAAGTCACAATCATATTCCATTAGACCAGTGATTCCCAACTGGGGGAACTTTCGTCCTCCAGGGTACATTTGGCAATGTATGGAGACATTTTTGGTTACTACATCTTGGAAGTTGCTACTGGCATCTAATGGGTGGAAGCCTAGGATCTGCTAAACATCCTATAATGCACAGGACAGTCCCCTACAACCAAGGATTATTTGGTCCTCAAGAATACTGCAGTTGGGAAACCTGCATTAGTTTATAGGTATGACCATATATTCATTAAAACAGTAAATGTTTATTGAGCATCTACTATGTTCCAGGCACAAGAATAGGGGCTAGAGAGACAACAAGAGCAAAAAGAATTCATGGAATTTATAGTTTAGTGAAAGAAATATGTATTTATTAAGTAATCACACAGATAAATGTAAAATAATATTGATAAATGTTATAGGACCATATGTCCCTATTTTCTAACCCACAGACAGGAATATAGCTTTAGTGGTCTGCATGCAATTATGAGAATGATAAATGAAAGCTATCTTATTTAAAGTTATGGGGAGTCATCTTAAGTATAAGTGTTTTTAAAGTGTGTTTTAAAAAAGTAATCTTTTATGGCATGTCCTACCTGGTTTAATATTGTTGAATTCTTTTTCAATCATCTCTTCAGAGGTAGATAGCATTAAGTTTCTCACATATAGGATTTTCACTGAAGACATTGTGTCTTCATCAACTTCTACTTCTGGTTCTGCCCAGTCTACTGCAATAGGGTGTCCCCATAATTGAATTCTTCCTGTTGAAAAGGATCACAAGTATGATTAATTATATAGAAATCAGAACAACATTGTCTCAGTTCATATTGATGGCCTTTTAAATTGAAATGACCCTTGAGATCTTGATTGAACAAGAAGAGCAATATTAAAAGAGGTGATTATTGATTTTAAGAGACATTCCAAATAAATGTAAGAGCTGGCTAGAAGGGAGATCTGTATGACAAGTGGCTTATTATAATGATTAAGTATAAAGGAAACTAGGATGTGGTTTGAAATGGAACAGAAATGAGACAGCAGTGGGCACGTTTTGGTTTTAGAACAGCTCCCACAGGGTGAAGGGGAGTCATTGAAAGTGAGATGGTAAAAGGAGAGAAAGGAAAATAAACGATTTAGGGCTCAGACATAGAGTCTGACTTCATGAAACATTAGAAAGATCAGTAGGAAGTATGTCTGCTACTGCTGGAATCTGTGCGATCAGGTGCCACCACTGAGCACCCCATAATGGTGCATGGGTGAGGGTGAGTAGGGCTTGGACACTTCTAGTTTGTTCTCTGTCCCTTTCACTTGGTCAGTGTTACGATCGACTGTGTTCCCTCCCAGCTCTCTCTCTCTTTCAGAACATGAACGACTCAGGAATCTGGAGGGAAAAAATTTTTTTTAATCCAAATTAAGAAGACAAAGAGCAATGGAAGAATCTATAATGAGAAACTAAACTCTTCTTAAAAGGTTAGTTATTATCCATGACTACATATATCCTGTTTTCCTATAATTGCAATTTATTGAGTGTCTTTCACTATACTGTTTCCCATATGCTATCTCAGTTCCTTCTCACAGTAACGCTGTGGAGAGGGGAATGACTTTCTCAATTTTACAGAAGAGGAAATGAGCTTTCAAGAGGAAAACTTGCCCAGATCTGTTTCAATTCTCCACTGCTCCTCTGTCATTTGTTACTCAGCCCCTGTATCCCTATCCAGCACAGATCCATGCTGAATTAATGAGAGGCAGGTGAAGGTCACCTCAATTTCAAATTTGATTTAAAAATCTTGTTTGTTTTTTATTAGTTGTTTTGGAACAAGGTATATCCTGGAAGCAATAAAAGGTTTGAGGGAACAAAATCAGAATTTCTCAGTATTGGTAAGGGTTTAGTTGTTTAATTATTACACATGAGAAGCAAAATTTTCAATCAAAATTCATCTTTTTATTCTTTGAAAAGTAGTCAGTGAAAGCATCTGTGGCATTGACATTCTAAAACCCAAAGAATAGACACCTCCTAATGAATTAGCTGGTCCTGGAGACACTGGCTTATGCTCTCCCAGCCAGCTGGTACGGTGTTATGCATTGCTTCCCACAGGACAGTTCTTCATTACTTTCTTCCTTCCCCTTTTCCCCTCCTCTTCTCTTCCACTTCCATGGTTTACATAGACTTTGCTATTTGTCTTATCCCAAGACCCCTATGGCTGCCAGGTGACTCTGGTTTCTGTAGCTGAGTGGTTCTTAACCTTTGCTCTACATTAGAAGAGTTTTAAAAAATGGTAAAACCTGGGTTCCACGTCAGTGGTGTGCTGGAAGCAGTTCCTATCCACTTGTAAGAATAGACCACTAAATTTTCAGAATTTTGTCAGCCAGTTGACATCAACTTGGTAGCTTGAAATCAGCCACAGTGAGAGTGTTAATACCATTGAAATAGGCAGATGCTACAAATCAGGGCTTTTGATTTTCCCCTGTGAGTTGGCTGCTGAAGATTGACCAGCTCATCACTGACCCTTGTGCACTCCTTCCTAATTCTTATGTAAGTGGTCTGGGCCTCAGGACTCTTAAGCACCTCAGTTCATCCTAACATGCAGCCAAGGTTGAGAACCACTGTTTTGCACACTGGGTTTTGCCTCCCCAGCTTGGGACCATGGTAAGTCATCCATGGGCCTGAAGATCTATCTGCAAAAGAATAAAGTGGGGAGAAGTGAGAGGAGGTGTGGGAAGCAGTGATTTCCACAAACATTTCTGTGGAAGTCGGTGTTGCAGAGTGATTTAGGAACAGGCTTTGAAGTCAGACATGTTCAAATATCAGATCGGTGATCCTAGTTAGGAAACATAACTTTTCTAAACATTAATTTCCTCATCCTGTAAAACTGGGAGAATAAAAGTACCTACTTACTAGGTTTGTTTCAAAGACAGAAGATTATAAAATATAAGGGACTTAGTTTATCACTTTTAAATGAAAAGGCAATTCTGCACTCTCCTCTTGATTGTCTATCATGGGCTGCAAATCTGAATCACCTGAGGAGGTTTGGGCAGTGGTATTGTTTCAAACATCCTCAGGTGATTCAGATTTGCAGCCCACAATGGGCAATCATTGTATTAGATGACCCATTCTCAGTTCTCAGTCTTGCAGTCTCAGGAGCAGTTATAAATGCAAATGATCAGACTATTGAGTCAGGAAGGTGATGCTCAGCAAGGGGCTTCAGCAAGCCCTCTGGGTGATTCTGATGCAGGCTAACATTGAACAAAACTGTTATCACTTTTTCCCAGAGCATCTTCAGTATTCTTTGATAGCTTCTGAGTTGGATACAACAACTTTGTTCCAGGCACACCTCAGCCAAGATGCATTTGTCAGGAGAGCTGCTACTATTAACAGAGGAGGTAGGTGGCTGGGGAGCCAAGATATCACTTTAGACAACAATTTTCTTTCTGTCTCCAAGTCTGGATCAATTAAGAAGGAAAAGCTTCTTGTGGGCCTTGTTTATGTTTCTTAAAGACCTCCTCATTCTTTAAAACTAGGCTGTCTAGAGGATGGCCAATTACCGAATTACTTTGTTGTTGAATTTACAGCGTGGTAATAGGTGGAGTGTCCAAATGGGTAACAGATTTTACTCTCAGGCTTCTGTAGAAATGAAACTGTTTGATTAGGCTGGCTTATTCACCAGTGTGCCTCATCTTGTAAGCCTGTTGATGAAGCAGTCTGACTAAAATCCAGTGGAATTAAACTCAACTCAGCCATCTTAAAGGGCCACGGGCAAGGGGTGCTGCCTCGGATCATGATTAAGACAGTGGATGAAGAGAGTGAGGTAGTATCTATATTGCTGGATCTTGGACAGAGAATCCAGAGAGAAAAGTCAGGATCTTAAGTGGAGGCATAACAAAGTGCTTGAGGATTTCTGAAGTCCAGCTGCTCAGCCCTGTCTGACCTAGTCAGCTTGAGTCAGGTAAAGGCAGAAGTTCTTTGGGTCAATCTGCTGGTTTTTTGTTTTGTATTGAATTGTAGTGTAGTGTATTGTATTGTTTTTATTTTTTATTTTATTTTATTATTTTTTTGAAGAGAGGGGAAGCTGATGAGAAGTTCTGATTCCCTAGAAACACTGATTGGCCCCTAAAAAGTATCTTTCTCCCATCTGGACTTTCACTGTTATGTTCCCCCCCACCAAAAAAATAATCATTTTGCATATCTGTTTTTACAGATAATGAAGGAAGAATGTAATTAATGTAGGCTGGAATAGTGGCAGCTGGTTTCTCAAGAAAGTGGTGGCTGAACTGGGGCTTTGAGAACTGTGAATCAGCAAGGAGCTCTGGGGAGGGGATATGACATTAGGAATAAAGGAAACAGAAATTAGCATGATGTTGTCTAGGACATTGAGGAGTTTGTCCTGATAAAAAGGAGCATTTTTATTAGGAATGGAAGGTAGCAAATATGGTTGTAAAGGACTGCGGCTATGAATGGAAGGCCTTGAATGGCGAGCTCAGGTTTACTCTGTATCTTATATGCAGCAAGGAGTTGGTGAATATTTTTGAACTGCTGATTGAGTGACACCATTCAGCCAATCAACAGACAGAGATTGAATTCCTACTATTTGCAAGAATTTATTGAAAGTGTAACATGATACTTTGGGAACACTAATCTCATGGTAATGTTCAGGATGGAGTAGGCAGAGGTGGAGGTGTATCAGAGAGAGAGCAGACCTGCAAGAATAATTAGGAGACCTTGAAACAATCTAAGGTTGTGAATATCTGTGTTTAGATTATTATGGTGGTCTGAGAACAGAAAGGATATGAGGGATTTCAGTGGCACAATCGCTGCTGCTGAAGAAGAGAGAAGAGTTGAAGAGAATATCAAAATATTAAGTTTAGATCACTGAGAGGTTAGGTGTCTTCCACAAGAAGCCTTAGTGATTCTATGCACCTGTGAGTCAGGTGACTGGACTGCTGGGTAGTGAAGAAGTAATGAATGGAAACTTTAACATTAAAAATATGCACCTCTCTAAAAGATTCAGCAATTTGGGGGGCTATCTCATATTTTTTCACTTTAAGCTGCCTTTATGAAAACATTATTAAAAAATCTTCCCCAAGCTCAGAAGTCATCTTACAATTATGAAAATTTCTAGAGGGCTAATCCTACTATTTGTTTTGTTTTTAAGAATGTGTATGAGGGCAAGATAAATCCAAGTGTTTTTGTTGTTTTGTTTTCAATTTTGTTGTTTTGTTTTCAATGGTGGCTCTTCCATAATATTCATGAGAAGAGTTGATTCCAATGTGTCCAGTCTGTCATTCTCGAAATTCTCTTATCACTTAATAATCATTTTAACACCTTACTGTGTGTTAATTTTAGCGAACATTTTAGGACTTTCAACAATTTTCCTACGTTTATCTAACCGAGGCAGTGTCTTGGTGTGGAGATTTTTAAACTCAGGAATTAATGGTTATTGCCCAAACGGGACCTTCCCTGTGGTTGTAGCACCTAACAAAGGTGCCTTTCTATGGAGAGCTATTAGTTTTATTCCCCAAAGTTAGAAGGAAATTAATAGACACTAGGGAGTCATAATAAAAGCATATTACTTAATTGTCATGGGGTTAATGTATCACTTGCAGATTCATTATTTTTACACTGTAACGGATAATATACCCTATTTCTAATAAGCCTGATAAAATCTATATATTTACAAATATTGAGTGATATATTTAATTTTAAGAAAATTCTTCATTTAAAGAATTCATGATAAGGTTGCTGTAGTTTAAAGTCCTAAATTTCTCCAGTGTGTGTGAATTAGACTTAATACATAGAATGAACATTTTTCTGAACTTACTTTGTAAAACTTCAGGAAACTGAATTTACTATGAGATAAGAAGGATGAATAGTTTAAAACATAACCAAAGAGAGAGGGCAAAAAATCTCCAGCACAACAAAAAGTATTTGTTTCCCTCGCTAGGGAACACAGCAGCCTGAGGCAGGAAGGTGGAGTAGGGAGGACTCAGTTTTAAGCAGGTGTTTGCTAACCTGGTAGAAGTTTCCTCCGGGCCATGGCGGCTGCCCGATGACTCTCATACTCCACAAAGGCGAAGCCTCGGTTTTTGGTTTTATCTGCAGCGCTTGGGTAGACAATGACATCTACAACTCCTTCGGTGACCTTTTTCATCTCTGATAAGATTTCTTCTCTTTTTTTGGTTTTTGGAATTCCCCCAACAAACAATCGGCAGTTGTCCACACTGGCACAAACCCCTAAGAGACGCCCATTTCTGCAAAAAGAGCAGACATTTGATTGATGGGAATCCGTGTGTGATTAAGGTTTAAGACAGAAGTTGAAAACATATGGCCTTGGACCTGATATGGCCTATAGTGGTTGGATGTTTGGTCTTTATAGTGATTAAACTATTTTTGGAGAGTTGCAGGTGCTTTTGAGAAGTTGGAAAATATGTCAACTTTTGCTCTACATTTTTAAAGAGAAAAAAAGTATGAAGCTGAGTAGTATCTTCTGTCTTTAGATTAGATGTGGATTTGCCAATTGTTGTCAATTCTCACCACTCCCTAATATATCCCCAAAGCTGATGAGTTTACTCCTGGCTGATATTACTCATGTCGCCTGCCTGGCCCTGGAGGTATTTGAGTTTGTAACCCCTGATGCTCCCTTTCTTTTCCAGCCAAATACAGAAGCTATCCTGGCATGATTGTTATTAAAAATAGTCCCTTATGCGTGGACAGATTTTTACATATTATTTTATTTGACCTCCACAAAGAACGTGTAAGAAGGCAGAGGAAGTTTTTATTTCCATTTTACAGATAAAGAATTTAAGACTCCAAGAAATTAAGTCACTTGCTTAAGATTTTAAGGATTTTAAGGGATGAAACTGGCCTCCAGAATCTCAGTTCCGTCACTGTTTCATTCACTGAATAGTGTTGTGTAACGGCAAGCTGAAGTACACCTTTACTGGCAGAGTGCGGATCGATTAAACCTTTCTGGGGACACTTGGCGAAATGTACCAAGAGTCTTAAGTGCGTATGACCTTTGACCAAAAAATGTCCTTTCTGAAAGTGACCTTAGGGGACAGATGAGCACCAAGATTTAAGTATAAGAATATTTATTGTTATTTAAAATAGTCTGCCTCCAAATTGGAAATGAACAAAATATCCCAACATACAGGATGAATTTAATGGAGCTCAGCTGAGATGTTATTAACTTTGGGGCTAAACATTTCCTCATTGTATACTGTAGTGTGTTTGTCACTACAAAGTTTGTAGTGTGTAGTGGTTCCTGCCCACTACATGCCAGTAGCTACCCGTTAGGTCATTGCAAAATGCCTCCTCATTTTTCTGAATGTCCCCTATGGTGGGCATTATTGCTGCTGGCTGAGAATCACTGGTAAATAAAAAACAAGCATTTATACTATAGAATTCACACTATAGAATGCTCTACAGTCATTGAACAAAGTAATGTAAAAGCATGTTTATTGGTTATAAAAAATACAGTTCACAATATGCTGCTGGGTTAAAAAATGGCAACAAAATAAGTGAGAAGGCTATTTTGATTAAAACTATAGAAAATCTAGAAAGACAATCAACAAAGTGATTGTCTTTGGGCAATGGGGTTATGGAGGAATTATTTAACTTTTATTGCTTTGTGGTTTTTGTTATTTTTTATGTGTTGCGTATTAGACTGTGTGACTTTTGTAATAACACGAAGTTATTAAAAATGGGTAAAGTTCCCTTAACAGATATCACTTGTTTGTCATGAATGAAAGCATTGAGTCAGGTGAGTGGGAGACTGCTGATTTCTTGGAACTAGTGGCCATGGTTGGGCCACTGTCCAAGTTGCCTACTATGCTTTTCTGTAGAACCAACGACCATATATCAGATCTGTGACAGGTCCATCTCAGTCTGGTGATCCCTTGCTCTAGGAATGTGGTTTTTTTTTTTTTTTTTTGGAGGAAGAGGGAAGGGTTGATATACTAATCTTTCGAGTTTTTTTTTTTTACCTTTATTAAAAAAAAACAAACTATTGTATTCCAAGATATTATTTATGTAGAACTTAAATTATTTTGATAGGGCTGGTTGGGGACCAGT